GCACTGATATAGTCGACGCACACGCTGCAATGAAGGTGATTAATGAACAATAGAACAATAGAAATAGGAACAATGGGACGCTAATGACGGTGGAGGCCCTTACCGGATATCAATTAGATATTAGGTAATTGATCTACACATCTCCGGAACCGTGCATTCTACACAAAAATGGACCGCGGATTCGTGATCAGAGCATGCCAAAACCTTTTTTTTTTTTTTTTTTTTTAGGATCGGGCGTCGACGAACGTCGTTGAACCACGTCTGACTCAGGTGGTCTAGAAGTGGTACAACTACACTACTAACCAGTCCGAGTAGACCCCGTTGATCCTGACACAAGCACTAGAGTCCCTATAAAGAGATCTTAATGCCTGTATCAAGCCAGCGCTCAACCCAAATGAGTTCAGTGTTTGCCATAACACATTCCTGTCCACTCTGTCATAAGCCTTTTCCAAGTCCATGAACGCACAAAAAACTTTCTGGTTTTTAGCCAAAAACTTCTCCGCTATCATGCGCATGGAAAAGACTTGATCCGTACACCCCATCCCCTTTCTAAATCCAGCTTGCACATCCCAAATTTTTCCATCAGTTTCTTCCATAACTCTTTCAATTAACACCTTAGCATACAGTTTACCCACAATGCTAAGCAAGCTGATACCACGGTAGTTTTTACAGTCTTGCTGCGACCCCTTTCCCTTATATATTGGGACTATAACGTATAAACAAAAATATTGTTTGTTTTTAGATGTAAAGACACGCTGGAGCAGCATAGCCGTGATGTTAAGCCATTTTCTGAAGTTAAAAACGATCACAAAAGCATCTTATCCGACACTATTCCGAAGATATTCCGGACGTCAGTCTGAGCGAGATTAGAATGGCTCTCCAGCACCTTAAAAACGGCAAGACCCCAGGCGAGGATGGAATTACAGCGGCGCTTCTGAAAGTGGGTGGAAAACCGGTACTTCAAGTCCTTCAGAAGCTCTTTAATTCCATCCTCCATGGTGGCATTACACCGGAGGCGTGGAGCAGAAGTGCGGTGGTCTTGTTCTTCAAGAAAGGCGACAACGCTCTCTTGAAGAACTACAGACCGATTTCCCTTCTGAGCCGCGTCTACGTGCTGTTTTCGAGAGTCATTACGAATCGTCTCGCGCGCAGACTTGACGATTTCCAGCCTCCCGAACAAGCCGGTTTCCGAAAAGGCTTTAGCATCATAGACCACATACATACCCTTCGGCAAATTGTACAGAAGTCCGAGGAGTACAATTTGCCACTATGTATGGCGTATGTGGACTATGAGAAAGCCTTTCATTCCGTCGAAACTTGGGCGGTGCTGCAGTCCCTTCAGCGATGCCAAGTTGACTGTCGGTATATCGAAGTGCTGAAGTGCTTGTACAGTAGGGCTACGATGTCTATCCGAGTACAGAACCAGAGTACGAAACCTATCCAATTGCAGAGAGGTGTAAGACAGGGTGACGTTATATCCCCGAAACTCTTCACCGCTGCATTGGAAGACGTTTTCAAGCTTCTGGACTGGAAAGGATACGGTATTAACATCAATGGCGAGTACATCACTCACCTTCGATTTGCCGACGATATAGTCCTTATGGCAGAATCGCTGGAGGACCTAAGCACTATGCTCAATGACCTCAATAGTGTTTCCCAACGGATAGGTCTTAAGATGAACATGGACAAAACAAAGATCATGTTTAATGTTCACGTCACACCTATGCCGGTAGTTGTTGGGAGCACTAAGCTCGAAGTTGTTGACGAGTATGTTTACCTGGGACAAATAGTCCGACTAGGTAAGTCCAACTTCGACCGAGAGGTCAATCGCTGGATTCAACTCGGTTGGGCGGCGTTAGGGAAATTACGGCACATCTTCTCGTCAGGTATACCTCAAAACCTTAAAACGAAATTATACAACCAGTGCGTGTTGCCAGTGATGACTTACGGATCTGAGACGTGGTCATTCACTACTGGCCGTATGAGGAAGCTCAAGGTCGCGCAGCGAGCTATGGAGAGGGCTCTGCTCGGAGTTTCTCTGCCTGATAAACTTAGAAATGAGGATATCCGCAGTAGAACCAGAGTGACCGTGTGTCTGACTGACTCTGACTTGAGCCGGCAAACACAGTGTACAATCGTTGTAGCAAACATAAAAAGATTTTGCTTGGATACAAGACGATGCTGCATCTCCTAGGATGAGATTTCAGCTATGACTCCCACAAGGTAAAATATAAGCAAGTGGATTTATTTCAAGAATAAGTTTTTGGACACCACTTTTTTCACCACGCATATTGGTACCATTATCATATCCTTAGCCTCTGCAGTTTTGCAATGATATACCTAACTATTCTAATTCTGTGATTATTTAGTTAGTCAAACTCTCAGCTGTGGTTTTTTCGACGGCTAAGAAACCAATAAAATGTTCTTCAATTTCAGCTGTATTTCAATTAAAAAATCTTATAATAATTGACAATAGTGAAACGTCGCGAGTACAATCAAGAATAATCGAATAATATAGGTATATATTAGTTATTATTTTTTCAACAATTTGAGTCTTCATGTGATCTGCCATTAATTGTATGAGCTCATTTAAATACTTTTTCCGATATAGTAGTCATTAATCGTCTTATCCTTTACTTGTTTTAGATGGAGTCTCATCAAGGGATCAAATCGGGCTATTAACTTTTCTAAATTTATAAAGTTGCCGCTTGTCTCACTCGAATCTGAGTCAGATATTAACTTCTCTCTATGACCCCTGAAGGCCAAATTGTGAGATGCTAAAAAAATTACAATTGCGAGCAATCGTTCTAAAATATCTCTCCAACGTTACTTTTCTTGTTTAATTTGTGACTGGGCCAAGAAGTCAATAGTGGGACAGCTTTTTAAACCATTCTCCAAATTAATCCACATCAACATAGAATCTTTGTGGTGTCGATTAGATTCATGAGACTTTAGGTAATCACCCAAGTGTTTCCAATCACACACTCCTTCACTTGATCCAATCTTTGTATTTTCTAGCCCGAATATTCGACACAGAAAGCAGTAAACGGCATCCTTTGTTTGTGAATAAATCATCCAGCGCCTGTCAAGCTTTTCACCGTTAACTAATATCTTATTATAATGATATTCGCCGAATCGCCGTCCATTATCATTTACGGGAAATAAATCAACTTTGACCTGGATTGGACCTTTTAATACAACCTCAGTTTGATCTATATCAGTAATTGTTACAGGCCACAAACCAGGGTCATTTTGAGGATTCAGATTTTCCATTCCAGCAGTCATGGATGTAGACATAGACTCGGGCTCAGATTCGTGTTCTTGACTGAATAGCGATGACGGCGGCACCGGTAAGCTAAGAGAAAATGATGTAGTTAACTCATCACCATCCTCGCTGTTTTTACTTAATGTTGGCGGCGGCACCCATGATGAAAGGAATGTTTTAGCTGGATTAGGATTAGAGTCACTTTCAGTCTATAAATGTTTTGTAGAGGTTTCTTGATCATCTCTTTTTATATATTTATATAAATATATAAAAGTTTTAAATAAAAAAATTGTTAAAAAATCTATATTTTTTAAAATTTGCTTGGGTTGTAGCGCGAGGCCCCTGCAAGAGCGAGGCCCCGGGCGATTGCCCTGTTCGTAGGCCGCCGCTGACAGCGATAGTTTCTTCAAATACCTAATTTTCAAAAGTCTCTCGGCCCGCATTTCCTCTTAAGTTCGACAATTATAAGTTAGTACTATAGGCTGGCACTAAGCCATAAGAAAACTTATAACCTCTTTTATATTTAATAATAATATCTATAAAAGGGGTACTGCTTGCTTGTCGGTGGCCCTTTATTTACTACAAAGTATCGAGTGCCTCGAATTCCTAAAACTGGTATGATGACGTTTGGACAGTGCTGTTGAGGACCCATGAGTCTCGAGACAGACGAAAGGGTCAAGATTTGTAAACGGTGTGAAAAATAGGTACAATGAGAGGTGGGTTTCGCGATAAGCAGACTCTGAATTTTGCAGTATTCAAATTGTTTACTAAAAATTCAAGTTTTTATAAAAAATACAACTGTTTTCTTCACAGTAAAAATAATAAAGGAACATCAAAGTACAACTATTTTACGGTTCAGGAACTTGAGGTCTTGTTAAGCCGCCACTATGCAGGTAAAGTGGCAGTGTAACGTTGTTTTAAGAGAGATTTTAATGCCGTGTGAGTTACATTTGCATAAGATCACTTAAGGAGCTATATCGTAGAAAAGGAGTGCTAGGGTAGATAACGAATACAATAGGAGATAATTTTCTTTTAATACAAGATCATGCTCTGCTGTATTTTGCAATGACTGATTTGGGGTATTTTGTGGAGATCGAAACCGAAGCTTTTCAATGACCAACACGCTCACTAGACCTAAAAAACTCACCAGAACATTCTTGGAAATAAATTAAGAGAAAAGTTAAATATATTATTCATAACCTCATAACTTATGAGATTTCAAAAGCGTATTGGTAGATGGTTTCAGTGACACGAAGTTGAATTGATGATTTAATAAAAAGTATCCGTAAACAGTTAAGGCTGTATAATAATCTATATAATATGTATTATAACATCCCACTTTCATTTAGGTGTGAATTTTCTGTAAAACTACTGTATCGCTTTTTTAAATAAGTTTATCAAACAAAACTTTAATTCGTTAATCTTAATTAAATAAATCAGTGCTTATTATTAATATTTTATGCTATTAAATATATTGTTATTTATTAAAAATATATTAGTCTAATGCCAATTTATCTTTTCTTACGTATCTCCACGAGTGTATTAGAATTTATATGAATGGATATTTTGTAACAGTCAGTTTTTGACAAATAGTCGTAATCAATTTACTTTAATTTACTATCTTTATATAATAGGATTTACGTATATCCACATTAAACATTTGAAATGTTATATTTACAAAGGTTAACATTTATAGATACAATATTTAAATCAGGTAAACTTTATTTCAACTAACCATACACGATGCATCGTGAACTTTTCCAAGTCTCGGTCGGACAAATGGTGTTGTTTGTCTCCAGAGAAAAATTTGTACTGGAATAGGAACAACTTCTTCATTGCTGCTGTCATCGTCTGATGATTCCTTCATTTTGTTTTTTTTATTTCTCTAATCCTGGCAGAAAAGCACTTTATTTGATTTTGAAACAAATTGAATTTTTTTTTATTCAATATTGATTATAAATACTTATTGAAAGTCATTCTTATATTTAATTTACCTACACCTGATTCTTAAAATTTCTGTCCTGGGGAGAACCAGCAAGAAACCCAGCGGTACTTTTTTTTCCAAAAAAAGGAACATTATTTTTTCAATCATGTATAACGTTACAAAATTAATTATAGAAATCATGTTAGAAATGGCTTGGTAGCGACCACCAGACCAGAGGTTATTGTCATTCATAAATTCCTTAAGATTATAATAACCCTTTTTATGCAATCTTTGTTGATTACATTTTTTGAATTTGGTTAGATTTTGTTATACAAGCGTATTCGCGAGTCAGGGTTTACCCCCAAGAATGAACTAGGTACTGACTGTGGAGTTGAGTAACTGGCACTATTAGCTTGTGTATGTTCCTAGTATGTACAGAATGAATATCGCATTTTTAAAGTACTAGTAATTTTTACTAGTAACTTTAGTAAATTTTCGTAAATATTTTGACAGGCCAAAGTTAGTATATTGATTAATATATTAAATTTTTATCTTAAAGACCCTTCAGATTTTAAGTCGTAGATTGCTCATAAGGCCCTCTTCTGCAAAATAAATATAATTTCAGTGTCAGCCCGTAGTAAAATACCATATGGGATTTATAATTTTTTTTAATGCATACAATGCAGAAGTAAGTCTGTTTGCCAGTTCAGATATTATATGGAGGCCCCATTGAAGCTTCGCGTCTAGTGATTCCAATAAAAATGGTGGTATAAACAAGATTAGAATAAACTCCTTTCAAAGTATTCTAAAAATAGATATACAAAAGTTTTTAAAAATATTGGCACATTCCATATCTTCTATTGTTTAATTAAGTCACACTTACGTTTTGTATCCCGCTACAACTGGTCATAATTAAAGTGTTTGGTAAATATTCATAAACACTATAAACATCACATTGATTGTTAAAGTGGAACGTTTTTTTTAATATATCACTAAATAAGTAGTAGATGTGGGATAATAGCGCAGGGTGCTTAAAGAACGTACACGCGCAGTTACACGGGGAGTCTTGACTGAGAGTGAGGCTCTGCGCACTCGTTTTCAGTAATCTTTATAGGGTTGATACTTGATATCTTATACTCTTGTCCTAAATATTGAGCTTTTCGAAATAAAAGTTAACAATATTATATATTACTAAACATTTATCCGATTTCATTTTAATGGCTTTCATAATAAAATTAAGTTTCTGATAAAACATTTTAAATAATATGTCCATACAATTTCAGGCACTGTAACTGACAACTAAATCATTATGTTCAATTTAAGAAGACGAATCCAAATCACACATTCTGATAATTAGGCTCAGGTCATATCAGAGTGTGGGTAATGGTTTTTAGTACATAAGTCCAGCGTGATTAATATGAGCCAATCTCTTAAATTAATATGCTTTACTGAAAGCGCATTCTGCACAGTTCATCCATTAGTAAATTATTAAAGGCTGCTATAAAAACACTCCATGGCTAGAAACAAGTCATTTATAGAGATACTGCGAATGAATATGGCCACTTTAAGAACTATTGTCACATAATAGTTTTTAATTTTTTATACTTAGTTTTAGGTGATAATTAACACTTTCGAGTCTTACTCACATTAAATATAAAATATAATTAGTACAACTCGGATTAATTACTTAATAAAATAATTGTGAGCGCTAATAAGTTTAATACTCGTATGTATGTTTAGACTGAAAACTTTTTCAGTGTGTGGCATCCCTGTAACTACATTGATCTGCCTGCGCACTGTTTCTGTGACGCAGCCTCTCGTTTCTGTGGTGACGGATACAGGGTGGTAACTATATTTTAAGTTTTCATTTTAAAATATTTTAGTGTTATACATTCTCTTTGAAATTAAAAAAAAAAACGAAATAGATTTAAATTGAATATATTATCTACTGGAATAGAAACAAAATATTTAGATAGTTACAATCTTTTAATTTGGTCCGCAACAAATCATTAATTCACTATTTTAAGTTATTGTCAACATTTAATATTTATTAGAAATGTGTCTTACCCAGTGACGTTACATAAAGTAAATGAAGCCCAGACCGCTACGTAATTATATATATTCTTTGTCGCTACGGTCAAAATGTCAACTACTTAATCTCATTCCCAAGTTACAAAGTATTTTCAAAATACAAAATAAATGTTTATACTGTCTTTTAAAAATTAATAAAACGATATTATAACATATTTTTACCCTTGACTAGTGCGTGTGTGCAGATTAATCTCGGTTTTTAGAACTTTTTAAGCTACAGTGCTCGTATCATAGAGTAATTACAATTTCTATGGTTCGTATTATTTTAATCCGAAGTATTCAATATCACTACTTTTTTAAAAATATTAGTAGCATCATTTAAAAAGATAAGAAGATAAGTCGGGGAATGACTTCTGGAGCCACGTCTGGGTCGGGGAATGACACTGGTATTACCGGTAGGGGCTTCCATCTTATTATTTTTTCCTAAAAAAAAAAAAACAGTTATCACTATAAGTAGGATTTCTATCATGGATCCTTTTGTACCATGGAGTTGGCTTACATACATAAATTGCTCAGAGATTCACATCTAGACCTAGTTATTTATAGGCCATGCGTTAGGCCAGGCTCCGTGCGTTATTTGAACCCGCGATTTTCAACGTCGCGACCAAACTCTTAATCACTGCGCTACATAGCCGTCTAAGTAAGTAAAATTTTGTGATACAGTCTTACCTTACCGTACTTATATACAACTCTCGGGGAAGCTATAATAAAGAATGATCGTTTTGAATGAAAATACTCGTTTCTCCGACAATTGAGACCACGTGACACACATGAGTGATGAAAATATAATCATGAAAAATATATGATAAACATGATTTATTTATACGAGTTTTATTCGATTTGTAATTTTGGTGTAAATATAAGAAATCATAGCAATCGTTTTGTGGGTGAATGAGAGCAATAATTTTTCGCTCCACATCTTATCGTGTGACTGAAATGAAGTTATTTCTTACACAATGCTATTAAAATTAAAAAGGTTGCGTTTTAAATAAAGTTTCTAGCATATATCCGGTGTGTCTCGAGAGTGTTATTACTTATTAGTATTACACAAAACAATGCCTTACTTAATGTTTACTCTTTAATATTTTGCACATTTTTTAACTCTTTTTTTTATTGTACTACTTTTGGGAATATACGTAATTTGGTTTATTTATTTTTAATCTAATTATTATAAAATTTATGAAGCAAGAAAGAAGCATTAACCCTTACATTTTTCTAACGCATTAACTTCCCCGCCATGCAATCGGTTAAATATTTTCACTTCATTCCTAAGTCGCGCCGCTCTGGTGGCAGAAAATGTCGTGGATTGTTAACCTCCTCTTTATTTAAAGTCGGTTAAAATGTGATTGTAAAATATTTAAGAGTAGTAGGTATTAAGCAAATAGACCCTTTAGGGTGATCAGAAAAATGTTATCCATCAATAATTTAATTTAATTATATTATATAATAACCTGATCGAATATAAAAATGAAACAATTAAACTATTTTATCAATAGAACTGATTTTAATTTGTTTATGTTGTATTTTATCTTATAAAATAAATTTTATCTTTAATATGGTGATTGAAAAATCAGCCCTAAGTTATATTTAATTAAGGACAGTGTTGCGTAGATGTCGCTTTAGTGACATGATGGCAGGTAATTTACTTTACAAACACATTCGTTGAAGGTGCGGCAGCAGTAAACATTTTCCACTTTGTAAATGGTTTTCCTCGTCACCAGTACACGTACATACTAAACCATAACTTTACATTGAACAATTATAAAAATCATGATCAAGTCGATTGTATTTGGTTTTAGTTTATGCACTACGGTGCCATAGGTATTCTTATATTTTGGATAATTGCAGCAATTAATTAAGGTTTTTAATTTTTTTATGTTTTCTTTATTACACTATTTCTGCAAAAGGTTGATAAAATATACTTTGATGATTTACGGACATGGTTCTGATGATCGACTAAATAAGTTCAGACCCAAAGCCTCCAGACAGTCATGCTAAAATGCTACCATACTTTGAAATCGTATGTAACTATGTCTATTAAAGAAACGTAGGACGTGATTTTTTTAATCAAATTTTCGGGAAGTATAAAATAAATCAAAATTATTATATCAAGAATATATTTTAAAGGTTAAAATTACTAAATCTTTTCAAATATAAACTACACTGCACTAGTAATTATTTTCTAAATGTGTAGTCCTTGTACATACACTGGAAGCAGAGATGAGATTTTTTTACGTAGTAGAGCAATACTGCAGCTATATTAATAGTATAGTTGTAGCACGAATGGTTCGGCTCGACCGGGGAAGGACCACGCTCTCACAGATTACCAGCGTAAAATAGCAGCTTAATGCTGCTGTGTTTCGTATGGTTAGTGTAGAGAACCGGAGACCCATTTTACTGGAAAAGAGGCATTTCATCTTAGTCCTCACGGGTGACAACGCATCTGCATTTTGATTCGTAAACGAAGATAGATGTAGATGTCTATGGGCCACAGCAACCACTTACCATCAGGTGGACTACGTGCTCGTTTGTCACCGTTATTCTATATAAAAAAAAAGATTCACAAGTAGAGCGAGCGTACATACATAAGTACAAAATATATTAAAACTTACAAAATAACAACACGTTTTAGTCATACCGATAATGTAACTATTTAATTATTAAATGTTTCGTCTGAATGAGAGTTTCATGTTTCAGTTTCTCTTTCGCGCCTCGAAATTAATGATTATAATCTATCATTTCAGACATTTTATACTATTTTCCGAAACCTGAATATCCTTCACTAGAAAAGTTTCAGCAATATAAGAGGATAACTGGAAAATATTTAAAAGATAAAACTGATAGTGAAATTT